CTTATAAATATCAAATAAATCTCCATGTAAGAATACATTTGAAATTATATTAATTTTGGGAATAATTGCCGATGAGCAGCATTGAACAGTTACAGTCTGGATCTCAGAATAAAAATATAAATTGTTTATAATCTGAATTAAAAAACTGGTGGCTGAAATAATTTTATTAATTTTTTCTTGCTTATAAATGTCAAATAAATCTCCATGTAAGAATACATTTGAAATTATATTAATTTTGGGAATAATTGCCGATGAGCAGCATTGAACAGTTACAGTCTGGATCTCAGAATGATTGTTTATAATCTGAATTATAAAACTGGTGGCTGAAATAATTTTATTAATTTTTTCTTGCATATAAATATCAAATAAATCTCCATGTAAGAAAACATTTGAAATTATATTAATTTTGGGAATAATTGCCGATGAGCAGCATTGAACAGTTACAGTCTGGATCTCAGAATGAAAATATAAATTGTTTATAATCTGAATTAAAAAACTGGTGGCTGAAATAATTTTATTAATTTTTTCTTGCTTATAAATGTGAAATAAATATCCATGTAAGAATACATTTGAAATTATATTAATTTTGAGAATAATTGCCGATGAGCAGCATTGAACAATTACAGTCTGGATCTCAGAATGAAAATATAAATTGTTTATAATCTGAATTATAAAACTGGTGGCTGAAATAATTTTATTAATTTTTTCTTGCTTATAAATGTCAAATAAATCTCCATGTAAGAATACATTAAAAATTATATTAATTTTTGGAATAATTGCCGATGAGCAGCATTGAACAATTACAGGATTTCAAAATAAAAATATAAATTGTATATAATCTGAATTATAAAACTGGTGGCTGAAACTGTCGCGAAAAACCTGAAAAATCGATTCGCGCGAATCACGTATAGGAAACGAGGGAGGATCTCTTTCGTCAGTTTCGCGCGAAATAAATCTGCCGTTGGCCACAGAATAAGGGCGATGTTGAAACGTTAGTACATTCGGCACTGGTACAGAGTAGGGAGCCTGCGAGAGGGCGGCTAAAGAAGTCGATGGTAAAAAGAGAGAGAGAGAGAGGGTTTCGGGCTCTCAAGTCATTTCTCCGAGCCAACACAGACCTCTCAACTCGACGCCACTCGTGGAAACGAAATCTGATACGAGAAAAGCTAAACTCCTTCAAATTCACAAGCCGTCCTCTGTTCGCCCCCTATCTACCACCCTCTTTCGCCCCCACACCAGCTTCTCTCTGCCTCCTTATTCCCTTCCTCCCTCCGGCCACAAGGGAGTTTGCAACCCCCCAAGCGTCCTCGCTTCTTTCTCCTTCCTCTTTCGACTCTTGCTCCTTTCAGCTACCCACTTATACTCAGTCAACCCTTTTCATTGCGAAAACGTCGTTCTGCAATTCATCCTTCCTCCTCCTCTTTTTCTCCAGCTTTTCCATTCGCCTTCTCTTTCTCTCCCTTTTTTATGCGCCATTCGAGGACGCTTCATTTCCTTGTCAATGTTCTTTTCTCCTCCCCTTTTTTTCCTGGATCAGAGAAAATCCCTGTGTTCTAGGCTTTTTTTTTCTATTACTCCATTTCCCGATCGAGCATTATCCATCGCACGCTCTTTCTTGGAGAGCAACTGCTCGACTTCCGACTATTTAACCCCCTTAATTAACAGCCGGTATAAGAGTCTCGGATTCGGCCTCCTTCATGGCACGCGACTTTTTTTTTTTCAAGCAAAGAGCTTTCACTTATTAAATGCTAAGATTAATGAATTTCGATGTACAAAATATCAATTAAAGTAAAAGAGTAACATCAAATAATGGAAACAGATTATTGTTTATTACGCTATTTTTGAAATTTCCCAATATGTCTTATTATACACTGAAAAAAAATCAATGTACTTTACATGAAAATTACTTATTCAGAACTGGAAAAATTACTTGACTATTACAGTCATTTTTTTTTTCCATACTTTTTAAAGTGAAAATACATATGCAAACTATAGGTAAAATTACTATTTTTATGCAAAAATTATATAGAATTTTAAATTTACTATTTTTACTTTATTTTATAAGCATTTATTCATTTTATTTATAATATCAAATTACATATAATCTACAATCTTCCATATGAATATTACATGATTATTCCGGGTCGGCAAAAACCCAGCATAATCATGTAACTTTACACAAATATTTTTTCAGTGTAAAAGCGCGGAATTTTTTTCTTATTTTGCTTATTATTTTAAATTAAACACCGATGCAATTAGTTTTCTTATAAAAAATGAAGATTTATCAATTGCTTAAAAATACATATCGCGTTGTATGTGGAAATATATTGTCAATTTTTTTTGGCGATTTAAATACCACGGTGATGCATTTATAAATAACGTGATGCAACCGCTATGCGCGGAATTTTTTTCTTATTTTGCTTATTATTTTAAATTAAACACCGATGCAATTAGTTTTCTTATAAAAAATGAAGATTTATCAATTGCTTAAAAATACATATCGTTGTATGTGGAAATATATTGTCAATTTTTTTGGCGATTTAAATACCACGGTGATGCATTTATAAATACCGTGATGCAACCGCTATGCTCGAGTGTGAAAAGGTGTCTGAAGCGGTGCCAAGAAGCTGCTGCCGCCGCATGATACATAAGAAAGCTTGTTGTTTCACGCCGCCCGATGGGTCAATGAAGCTTTATTTTCTCGAACAAAGTATCTCACAATAAGGCATGACTTTAAATTACTAGTGAGATTAATCCCCATCCCTAGAAAAAGCTGATTAATGTTTGAAATTTTTTTCGTTTTAATTCTTAAATTGTAGTATTTAATTATTCTTGCCTTTAATTTTAAAAAATGTAGTCTAACTGAACTTTTGGTATTTTTATTAAATATAAATCTCGGAATTAAAATTAGTAAAATTCGCACGATCAAAAATCAAATCGTCAATCAACTATTTAATATATGCACATGTGCACACGACGCTATTTAGTGAAATAATGATAAATTAGATGGGAAGACTTCTCTAAACACGTAATTGTATAATACATTTTTAAACTGAATTAGTAAATATGTCACAGAAGCAGTGATAAACTTTCATCGAAAATCGATGAGCAGACTCAGAAATTTCATTGAAAACATTCACACTTTCTCTCTCTCTCTCTCTCTCATCTCGTGAATTGATTTTTCTCATTACCCGTGCGAGTGTTGTACTTATAAATGTGAAACCACTGCTTGTCAACGATAACATATTAATTTCATTTAAACGAGTATATGCATATTTAAAAGATCATATTACATATCATTGTGAATTATTAAATTTCACCGCTATATAATAAAAACAAGATTTTCAAGATAGAAATTTAACGCAACGAAATATTATATATTATGCAATTGATTGCAATTTACTGCGTGCCACATTTAATATCGAGCGTTGTTGGCAATCCGCACGCGGCTTTATGGGAATCGTCGCCCGTTCAGCACGCCCTTTCGCTTTCGATCGATAATAATTATTCTCGTAAATTCAGGCATAAACGCGCGCGTATGAGAGGCAGGTACAAGAGGGAGAAGGAGAGAATAAGGGCGGAATAGTCGAGCCTGCTTGGTTAAATACTCGTAATGACGTCTCGTAATTGCATCGAAAGTTTCCAGGGAAACTGTAATTATCGTACGAGCTCACTTCCAGCGATATCTTCAGGCTCCGGTCGCCTGTAATCGACGGGACGCCAAACCTGAAGAAAGGAAAGCCGCTTTTCCGACGGAATATTTTTCCAGACGGGGACGGCGTTATCTCGAATCGAAAAGAGGATCGAGGGCTTCATAATGGAATCCTCTGGGTTCGACAGAGAAACAGAAAGAATGAGGGAAAAAAAGGGAGAAAGAAAGAGATGCTTAAAAGTGCGTCATTTGAAATTTTCTCTAATCCCTGTTCCAATTAAATCAATTAGCGCTGACAAGAAGATTGTTTAATTCTCTTCATTTGTATATACGCGTCACGATTCTCTTGTGTATACTTTTTCTTTATAATCGCCATTTTTAATCCCCAACTGCTTTGTTAAACACAAGCATTCATTCCAGAGATGATAAATGTACACATATATACCCTAGTCATAAATTTTAAACTTTCTAGTTTTACTTTTATGAATTTATATTAATAAATCTTGTTAGCAAGATTAACGATAATAATGATTATTTAAGTACAAACAATAATCTTACACGTATCTATTTTAATTAATTTCTTTTACAATTCCACTTTATCATTTTTATCGAATGTAAAATCGATGAAGATTAAAGAAAAAATGACGATTAAATGGAGTTTTAATATCTCCTAATTCTTTAAAAAATATAACGAATATCGAAGTAATTATATTCTTTTGACGGTGATTAAAAAAGTAATCAACTGTTTAGAAAAGATACAATTTTGATCAATAAATAGATGTCGTTTGCAGTACCTAGACCGTTCGCTCATACTCGATGATTACTTGAAGATTCATTGGGCTGTCATGTTGATTTGAATAATTTATTCGAGCGATCAACCGTATTAATATTCATTATTCGGTCAATCATCGTCACTTGGATAATTATCTGCGTAAACGTTCATTATTCGGCTAAACGGATGCGTTTGGCGATTGATTCGGTACTCGGAATATGCTGAAGCTATCCAAACATTTCTATCAGCAATGCCGATATAGCAATAGTGATTTGTGATTCAGAGATGACTAAACTTGCGCTCTGTTTGAAAGATCATCCCCTGAAGCCATCGCTCGTCATATCTGTACAATATCGTGTGCTTACGTTTTAAGCTATCAGTTCTAAAGATAATCATGTACTTGTAATGAACTTACATTGCGCAACATTTTAATAATTAAAAAAAAATATATATATATATATATATTCTTTTTACCAGTCTTATGAAATCAATTCTACTTCTCCATTTTTGTAGCAACTATATACATAGTTGTATCGTACAATTAAACTTGAAATTGATTATAAATAATTCACTTACCCCACTAAAAGTTTTGACGTTATGAAGAGCATTCTGCGCTGCCAAGGCTGCTTTTCTGGTGTAAAAAGTAACGAAGCAACATCCTGCAACAAAAAAATGAACGTAAAATTAGAAATTATAATTAATTATTGCATTTGGAGAATATTAGCTTAATTAATTTCACTAGCTAAAAATAAAATAACATCGTTTCCTGTACGTCGACTAAATATATTTCGCGAATCATAATTATTTAAAGAGAAAGATGCTATTATTTCGGCAGTAAGTGAATGATGAATTTCACAGTGCGGATTATTATTATAACCGATGTGATTATTAACGAGAAACTTTGTGATAAACGCGAATGGCCGCGAAGTTTGCACCATCGGTGACAGGTTCGATATGGGAGAAACGATCAGAGGAGAAAGAGTGAGGTCGGTTCTCGAGGACCTCATCAAGGCTCTTCCATATCCCTCGGTTGTCGAGGCTGGACGACATCCAAGCCTTAACCGGTCGATAGTTACGAGTTGCCAAAAGTTCGATACACCATCTCTTTCTCGAGCGTCGTATACTCGATCCCTGTCTTTCTTCGATATCTCTAACGTCCCAGGTGAATCGTTAGTTTGTCTAGAGTCGGAATAAAGATAATCGAATTCTTCATCGAAATAGAAACAGAAAGATAGAAGTTTCGCTAAATGCCGTATAATGTAAAATGGTTTTGTATATAGAAAGAATTGCCAGGACCGAGGATCTGTAGAAATAAAAATATGTTGGGAAATCGCGAGGATTTTTAGAACGACAGCTGTATGGGAATAAACATTTGTCGGTTTAACTATTTTCATTTCAAGACTCATTGTCAGTAAAAATAAAAAAAATTGTCGAAGAATATATACATACACGCACACATAATTTAATACTAAAGAAACACTAATAATTTGTTGAATAAAATATTTGAGACTTGGAATCTGTGAAGAGACAGAAAATTCTCTCTGAAACCAAGAGCTATAAAATGAAACATTTGTAAGGTAAAATATGAAAATTTAAATCTATAAATTTATGAAAAGTAATTATGAAAAATTTTTCTTGTATATATGTGTGTATTTGTATATGTGACTAGAAATTTTTAAATCAAATATCTACATTTAGAGTCTTTTAGATCATTTTAAATCGTCATATCGAGACAATTTGGTTACCATAGTGATTAGATTTTCCAAATATAACATATGCCCCAGGACTCTCTTTGTGCTAAGTAAACAACAGATAATTAAGGTGTCGTGAGCGCGGAGTTAGTAGTACCGCAAGTTAATAACGGTCAGGTTCAATTAACAGGTTTCCTATTTACGGTGTATAGGAAATTATGATAAACCTGTAACGCAGCGCTGAGCACAGAGAGTGTAATTATAATGCGATCGCGGTAATAGTTTCGGTAACAAGCCTTCCAATTACTCGAGGAAATCCCGATATTCCGCAATGTTTTGTTTGGCAACGCGATATTCAATATCGCACTGAATAACGCATGGTATCGGGATGAATACATAATTGCGAATCGTGCAACCCGATACGTAGCGAAAGGTCCGGAATGTTAGGACCGACGTATTAAGTTCAACCTAATCGAAAAAGGAGTTTATTCGAGGCTATAGGTTGCGTATAGCATTTCGTTTTGATCCCTACGTAATTTGAGATCACGCAGAGGAAAGCTTCATTAATAGAGAGATCGTTAACAACGGGATAATTTTACAAAGACGTTACGAAAAATATAATAATGCAAAAAGAAGCAGATCACAAGGATACACGTCTAATGTGTTTTAAAAAAATTTCGCGTATTTGCTCTTTTAACGCGAATTAATCGATACTTTTTTCATCAATTTTTAATTTCAAGATAATGAAGAAATTCATTATCGTGTTCCCAATGAAGTAAATTCTCTCACATGCATGATTTATTAAGGTAAGTGACATTCTCAACATATTGCCAGTAGGTTTGTCGTAAATTACGGCATGAAGACGCAGCCGGGAGCCGGGAAATTATGTTCTGGCAAGCAAGTAATCTTAAGGCATCATCGCTCGATAGACCTTTAAATCACTACCTGCAAACTGCTTTCACGCATCCTTTTGCCACCCGTCGACAAAGCTGTTGTAATGCTCGTGTCTACAAATGGTCTTATTCGTTCAGGTACTAACGTTAACTCCCTCGCATTCTTGCTTGTAAATTATTCCGTCTCTTATTCCTCAATTAATTTTAAATAAAAAATACTTTATTGCGTGTGTGCTTACAATAATTAACAATTTTCGTCCAAAACTATAAAGTACATACAGGTTTTTAACTGATTTTTGTTCTCTTCATTTGCCTCGTTTTTAATCATTATTTAATTTGTATTTTGATCCGAGATTTAAAATTATAGTCAGTACTACTTTAACAATAATGCTAACGATGCTAAATAAGAAAAGAAGGTAATATATATTTATATTGTAGGCACAAAATAAAAATTAAAAAAAAATACGATAACATATATTGTATGTGTGTTCACGAGAAAGAAGGAAATAATTCTGATAACTTTATTGCGTGTGTGTTTACAATAATTAACAATTTTCGTCCAAAACTATAAAGTACATACAGGTTTTTAACTGATTTTTGTTCTCTTCATTTGCCTCGTTTTTAATCATTATTTAATTTGTATTTTGATCCGAGATTTTAAATTATAGTCAGTACTGCTTTAACAATAATGCTAACGATGCTAAATAAAAAAAGAAGGTAATATATATTTATGATGTAGGCACAAAATAAAAATTAAAAAAAAATACGATAACATATATTGTATGTGTGTTCACGAGAAAGAAGGAAATAATTCTGATAACTTTATTGCGTGTGTGTTTACAATAATTAACAATTTTCGTCCAAAACTATAAAGTACATACAGGTTTTTAACTGATTTTTGTTCTCTTCATTTGCCTCGTTTTTAATCATTATTTAATTTGTATTTTGATCCGAGATTTAAAATTATAGTCAGTACTGCTTTAACAATAATGCTAACGATGCTAAATAAGAAAAGAAGGTAATATATATTTATATTGTAGGCACAAAATAAAAATTAAAAAAAAAATACGATAACATATATTGTATGTGTGTTCACGAGAAAGAAGGAAATAATTCTGATAACTTGCTCGATTCACAACGCACATACGGGATAGAATATAATTGCTCCGTACGCGCGTTGTACAGGTAAATTGAGATTAATAATTAATAAGTAAATTATTAAGCTGTGCACGATAGTATTCTCGGGTATTCCCAAGTGCATCTGCAACACGGCCCGAATAGCGATAGTTTCCACGACTGCGTGTCGCGAACCGGTGTAATTTCTGGAACTAGTTTGGACGGCGTGTTTTTGCCAGAGTAACAGCTTCGTTGGTCATTCTGCACAAGCTTGGCCAAAGAAAGCGATGCTGTTAAATGATTACTAGTAGTCTGTCATATATCGATGTTTTCGAGTTTGAAAAAAAATAGGGGACGTACTATGTATAGTCCAAATTTATATTTATAATTTTTAATCCACATGAAAAATAAATATTTATGAAGAAAATTAGAATTCGGAAACAAATATATCGCACAGGAAATCATTACTATCATTATGCAATAAAAATAGCTTGCTTGAAGTAAAATACACGCGACTAGAAAAAAATGATTTACTATGAATGAAACGGTTATGTTTAGTGCCGCGATGCCAAGAATACCGTATATAAATTATAAATTAATGCAACCAAATTAATTCACTTTATAATTCATCTTCTCTCTTTCCCAACAATGAGAATAGTAGCGCGCGAATAAGGTCGAAAGTTAATTCTAATTTTATATCGAGAAAATTGTTGTTTTTCGTGATTGCAGTCGAGTGAAAATCTTTAAAAATAACGAGACGTAACGTCGCACGAGAAAGGAGGATAACGACAAAAGCGAGTTCCTTCCAGCTACTTAAATGAACCGACCGTCGTCATTATAAGAGAGAGGAAACGAATTTAATTTGAGCCTCGAATTACGCCGTCTGCAAAAATCACGGTACACACGAACGAACGGACCAACACGGAGATGTCCACCATTAGGAATTCCCAATTCGGGTCGTAATTATCGCTAATTGGACCGCGGATTATGCCTGTACGATATGCGGCGCGTGAAACTCTCGTCGTTCGAGGCGCAAATTACGCGTTGCATGTACTTCTATACATACACATATAGGTATATGTATTTCTGAAAGCTTCGAAAGACACCGAAAAGTCACGAATAGAAAAAAAAATCATTTTAATTAACCCGAATTAAAAATTTCGCAATCGGAATCTTTGGCAAAAAATTAATAAAAAAAAAAATTACTAAGCACTCCTTTTAATTTGTCAGGATAAAAAGAACGCGCCGAGTAATCGATCGATCGAAATGAATTGGCCGATCGGAAACGATGCATTATCCCATGCGCTCGCGACTATGGCACCTCGGTGCGTGATTAGCGTCCACGGGGAAATCTATCGCAGACATGGATGCGAGCTAATGCCGATCCCCGTTAGAAATCCCCTGATGTAACTAGTTTCGCTTCACACGATCCGAATCAATATCGCTCGTCTAAAATCGTCGGCGATCGTCGCCTGGAAGTATCTCCAATTACAGCAAACTTGTGTTCGCGCATTAATAGCGCCGATCGTTGGCGGTCGTGAAACTTTTTTTCTCGATTCTCTCTTTCTCGGTGAAGATCACGAGATCCCGTTCGATGACCTTTCTACCTTCTTTCAAATCGCGCGTGTAAGAAGAGAGAGAGAGAGAGAGAAAGAGATGAAGCGCTGAATCGGTCAATTACGTCGCCGTGTTCGACTGTGTCTGTGCTCTGTTGGTGGTGGATAAATCGGAATAGCCATCGGATTCTCCCCAGCGCCAGTAGAAATGTAGGGACAGTAGTAGCTAATTTCGTGGAACTTCTCGGAGAGGACATAAATTTCCACGTTATAAGAAAAAGAGCTATCGAGCAAAGTATTTTTTTGCATTTAGAGAAAGCTTCTGTTAGAAAGACACGCGAGAGAAAAATTGTCCAGTTCGATTGCAGATCGTTGTTTAAATTGATATTAATTGGGAAATGTA